TAGGGGTCTCGAGGACCAATAACAACAAGATGACTGGGACCCTAAAAGAATCCGGGCCAAGTTTGTGGTCTGTGCCTGGAGATGGTTGTCACCGGTAGACAATTCTATGGGAGTTAAGTGATGAAACCTGATCAGTGTTCTGAAATTTGTATTGAGCAGCTAATCTTACTTTGTGATGCTCCTCAGCTTCATTGGAGAGAGACATTCTGTTTATTCCATGACACTGGGATGAGAAAGCGTTTACACCCTGATCATCCCCAGGGTGCATCATAGTGGCTGCCAGCATTCTCCCATAGGGGCCTTGTTGGTCCTCACTCTGCAGCACCTGGGACCTGAGTTGCTTGCCGATGCCAGCCAGCCTCCCCAGACGCTCATTGGGCTGGAAGTGAGGGGCCTCCAAGGTCCTCCAGCACTCAGGACAAGAAAAAGGAGTGTTATGTTGCTCCCAGCTCCTCAGGAGACACACCAGGCAAAAGCTGTGTCCACATTCAGTGGTCACTGGGCTGGTGAAATAGTCCAAGCAGATGAAACAGGTCAGTTCTTCCCTAAGGTTCTCCATCAAATCTGAAGTAGACATTTTCTCTAAGAAGGACATTAGAGTAAGGTCACGCCTCTGTTCTGGAATTAAATTCCTCTTTGAGGCTCTATTGTTTTGAGTAACAAGTGAGTGATCAATTGCTATGTTGTTAGTACAAGAAACTCTTACTCTCCTCTGTGCCTGATTTCACCAATTGACATGTACTCTCTCAACACAAAGCCATTATGACTTAATGTGGAACTCCCGTACACTGGTTCATCATCAACCCCGAGCTTTTCAGGAATCTCACTGGGTAAGCCACATGCTGAAACTGAGGATACTTGCTCCTAACAGAGTTTTCATTTTGAGAGTTGGTTATATCATATTAGCAGCACCATAAAACCATTTATTTTTTTAAATATATTTTATTGATTTTTTTTACAGAGAGGAAGGGAGAGAGATAGTTAGCAACCCAGGTACATGCCCTTGACCGGAATCGAACCTGGGACCTTTCAGTCCGCAGGCCAACGCTCTATCCACTGAGCCAAACCGGTTTCGGCAACCATAAAACCATTTAAAGACATTGGTCGTAGACTGGACATTGGGTAATTTGGTATAAGCCAGTACAGCGATTTAAATCATGATGTTCTCAAATAATATCTGAATTGGGCCTATGGTCCAAATCTTTTAGACTATTTGGCTAACGGATCTAGTTGAGAAACTGAAGGAAGAAAATTGTAATATCTATTTCTTCCATCATTAGGCCATTTTCTCTGCTCGACCAAAGTCTAACAGCTTTTTGGTCCTTTATCAGGTACTGGGTCTTTTCATTTGATTTACCCAATAAAATGAGAACAATTGCATTATAGTATTCCCCAATTATAGATGTACAATGGATTACCAGAGTTATGTTTATTGCTCTGCCCTGAAGACCATGGCACTCAGCTCTCTGCCACCATAGACAGCATCTAGCAGTGGTTCTCAACCTTCCTAATGCTGTGACCCTTTAAGCAGTGACCCCCAACCATAAAATTATTTTCGTTACTACTTCATAACTGTAATTTTGCTACTGTTATGAATTGTGATGTAAATATCTGATATGCAGGATGTATTTTCAGGGGTCGCGACCCACAGGTTGAGAACCGCTGCTTCTTATTGGAAGTTGCCTCAAGGATCTATTGCACTGTGGAGTGGGTAGAAAGAATTTTAGTATAAATATAATTTTGCTCACTTATATCCACTCTTTGAAAATGGCTTCTTAAGCCCCTATTAGTTCTTACCACACAGAAATTAAATGTTCAGACATCGTTTTTAGATATGACAAAATAAATGTATAGCATGGGGACTGTGTAAATGTCCACTGAGATTAGTGTCAATTTCTATAAATGCACTATGCCATGTGCTCATGAGTCAGTCCCTGTGTGGTCTATACTCTACTCACTGAATGCCAGAGAGTGGGACCTTACCAGCTCTTTCTCGGGGCCTAACCAGCTCCCTTCCACTAAGTGCATCATACCTTATTTCTATTTTTTATGCTGTCACTCTCCAGTTGGCAACTTCCGATGGGTCTCCATCGCTCATATTATTCCATTAATTACTTTCTGGCTTTTATGATTCAAACTGATCCTTCTTTCTCACTATCTCCAATAGGATGCTGAGCCACAGAGCTCACAGTTCAATTCCTGGTCAGGGCACAAGCCCGGATTTTGGGCTCGATCCCCAGTAGGGGGCATGTAGGAGGCAGCCGAGCAATGATTCTATCTCATCATTGATGTTTCTATCTCCCTCTCCCTTCCTCTCTGAAATTAATATATTTTTTCAATTTTTAAAAGGCCTTTCTGAAGTAATTAATTCCAAGTGTTTTAATCATATGTCCTTTGTATAGCACTTATGAATTACCAGGATGAAAATTTATGCTAAAAAACAAACAACTTGATTATGAGTTAAACTAGTTTAAATAGAAAGAGAGGTAGCATCAGTTTGGGGTCATGAAACCTCTACTGTTTAGATAGCTTCTAGGCTAGCAACTGGGTCAGAGCTTTACTATATTATAAGGAGCAGTTTTAAGTGCCTTGAAAAAAAATTATACAAGCACTAACTGCCTTCGTTGGAAAATATAAACTACTTTCTACGTTGTGTTATTCCCACACATACCCAGAAAGAGTCTTTAGCATTGACCAGATTGATTAGAATAAGTCTTGCAGTAGAGTTAGGGTACATCACAGAACCTGTATTCCAATTTGGAATGGGGAGACCAGCACATTCTAAGTTGAAGCCACACTGACTCCTGTCCCATCCCGCTGTCCCTGTTCCAAATCAACTCCTTTCATAGGCTAGTTTCATAGGCTCCTTAACACAATGAACATATATTTACAATAGCAAGGGATCAACTTGACTGTAAGTAAGTATTAAATGAACAAATAGAAAAAAACATATTATTATAGAATTTTTATCTGGCCAGAAGAGATTACATAGTCCAACAACCTTCCATAAATGATGAAGAAAAGTGAGACTCCAATAGATTGAGTTTGCCCCTGAATACTTGCTCACTGCAAGAGTCAGGTCAGGAATTGGAACCTGGGTCTCTTACCTCCCAGTCATTCTTTGTCAACACACTGCACTGCAGCTCACTTGTCTGTGAGTGGATGGAAATTTTCAGTTATCTCAGTGAAATGTAAGTACGGCTCCAAGTGCTTTCTGGAGGAAATTGGACAGCTGTCATTATGGTGTGATGTTGTGACAGGTATCTAAAATCACTGGCTACGTGCACTATTGGGAATGCAGACTTCTTTATCATCTCTCTGACAACATTGACTGGGCTTACTTCATGGATAAAGAAAATTATAGAGTGGACCAGATATCTCAAAGCACATTACGCCAACCCTCAGGGCACTGCACTGCCAGACATGATTTCTGAGTTCAACAACTCAAATAGCTTCTTCTTTGGCTTGTCTCCTCCTGAGGAGGAGATAATAGGGATACCCCAAGAGGTCCACAGCCATAACTATCACCCACATGGAATTAGGTTTGAAGCACAAAGAAAAGAAAAACCTTAAAGATATAGTGAGGGGTTATTTACTGGTGAAGATAGTAGGCTAGATAGAGACTTATTTGAAAAAAAAAAATCTTGTTTGAAAGGCTGTGTCTATCATTTCGTATTGCTGTGGAAAAGATAGATTATACAACAAATGGTTTAGGACAAGTGGGTGTAGCCATCTGGGGGGAAAAAAATTGGATCTCTACCTAACAACTTATACCAATGTGTATTCCAGATGTGTGTGTGTGTGTGTGTGTGTATTTTTCCCCACTCTAGTCATGAATTTCTACTCATATTAGTTACCTTTGTATTATTTTTTCACTTATTTATTTATTTATTTACTTACTTACTTACTAGTATTTATGTGGTTTTGTACTAGATTACCCCACATCCTTTTAGCAAGTAAGGACCATATTTGTTAACCATATGGCCAAGTATTGTGTCTACAGAATGAAGCATATCATAAGAGGAGATAATTGGTAACACAGTAGAAATTTAAAATGGACTATTTCTGGAAGGTATTTTAAGCAGGATTCAGAAATTAAACACCACTATGAAAAATACAAACCCGACAGGCAGCTTAGTGTGGTGGGATTAGAGCATCAGAAGGTATCACTTTACTTTTTTATTGTATAATTTTTTGTATAAAATTATATTTTTTCTGACCTTTTGAATGTGTTTTCTGCATTTTCCAGTAAAGAAATATTGGGGGATGGGGTAGGAGCAAAGAAATGTGAGGCATGACTTGCAGTAAACCAAGTAATGAGGCAATTATTTTTCAGGTTGAGGGGGGAAAGAAAAACTATCATCTCAGGTGATTAATTTCAGCTGTGACATAGTAAATCTTTCTAAAAATGTTTTTGTGATTTTGATACAGTTCTTTATTTAACTAAGTTATCGAGCCTTTCTTATATAGAGAGCAATGAACTCAGTGATGAAAGCAGGAGTTAGGTGTGCAAAACGAAAAGCTACAAAATGTTAATAGATGCATACCTTAAGAGTGGTAGAATTTATATCTAGCCACTATGCTGTACACCTGAAACTAATACAAAAATAATACTGAATGTAAATACATTGAATGTGAACAAAAATAATATTGAATGTATTTGAAATATTTTAATTTTAAAAAAGAGTTATAGAATTTAAATTTATTACCTGTTTTGACATTTTAGTGGAGGGAATATTAAATTCTTTCAGGGAAAACTTGGGAGAAATGGTATTTGATCTGAGCCTTTAAGGCATGTTTCAAAAGAAGGAATAGCTACTATTTAGAAGTGGGAAAACTTAAAGTCTTGGAAGAATAAAATACATGATCAGAAAGTGGGTCAAATATTACAATAACAAAAAAGTCTAGATTGCATCATTCTTTTTAATCTCAGAAATATTAAAAGACAATTTCAACTTGGAAATATTCATCTTTATTCTTCTTTATAGGTAGCACGTTGGTCCTACCAGCAACACCTGGAGGCCAGATCAGTGGGGCAAGGATCCAGGTGCTATAAATCCATAGACCCAGTCAGAAGCTGTAACGCAGCCACTCCTGCTGAGTTGCCAAAGTTGGTGGTGGAGTGTTGCCTTCCAGCGCTTTAGCAGCTTACACATCTTGAGACTTTAAGGTGAGGTGTTTTGTTTGTTTTTCTGTAGAATAAACCCTTTATGTTTCATCCCTTTGCATTAAGAAAAGTTCAAACAAATATTGACAAATGAGAATAAGAAAGCACACTCTGAATTCAGGAGTTAACAGTCTAACTTTCTTTCCTCCCTTTCTAATGTGGGGCATGGGATTTGAGTTTATTACAGAAAAATAATGTGAGTTAGTACAATGTGGATAGGGTTTAACGGAGTTAAGGATGATGTTAGATTTAAAACACACATACACACACTTAAGAGCACAAAGGTTACTTGTTTGTATCTTGCTTCTATCACATGACACCCTTTATGAGATGCCATCACTTAATTCTACAGGAATTATTAAATATCTTTACGTTCTAGGTGTTGTAGTGCAGCCAGTAGACTAGAAAAACAAATGATCACCCCATGT